ACTGTTGATGGCCTATAGGACAGCACAGCATGAAACCACTGGATACACTCCAGCAAAGTTGATGTTTGGTCGGGAACGTTGGTTGCCAGTGGATCTGTTAACAGGATGTCCACCATATGAAGAGTTGTCTGAGAATGTGTCAGAGTTTGTGAAAGTGTTATCGGAAAGGATGGATGGTATCCACCATCAAGTGCGTTCAAACTTGAAAACGTCTGTTGATTCGATGAAGTCAACTTATGATAAGAGATCTACTGAAGCCAACTTTGTACCAGGAGACAAGGTATGGTTGTATAATCCCAGGAAGACCAAAGGAAAGTGTCCTAAGTTGTCTTCTCCATGGGAGCGCCCATATAACATAGTGGATCGTCTCTCACACGTGACTTATCCGGGTAAAATGTGGTCGGCGAGGTAAGCCACAAGTGGTGCATGGCAACAATTTTTGGCATTATCATGGCCAGGACATTTCAGTTGGAATGAAGTGAACAAAGGAACAAATGACCCCGCTGAAGAAGTGTCACCCGAAAAAGCCACTGTCGAAGAAGAAACTCTACTCAATTTTGAGAAGGGAAATGGTGAAGCTCTTGATGAAGTTACTACCACTGATGTGACTGTTACCGATGATAGGACATTTCCTGATGAAGCAGATGAACCCCACATGAAGCAGTAGTCAACGAGACAGAGACCAGTACAGAAGAAGATACGTCCCGTAAAATTAGGAGACTTTGTTGAATTGTAATTTTGAGTTTGTAATTCTGTACATTTAATTAAGTTATTGTTAATTGTTATTGGTTTAATGTGAGTGGCTATTGTTCGGGACGAACAATACTAAAGAAGGGGAAGTGTTACAACATCGAGGTCACTTGACTATTATCACGCCACGTCATTCTCGAACTTTCACGTCTTTTCCTTAAATCTCGTGATCTTTCTAGATATAGTGTAGTCTTGTATATATAAGACCGGCCACGAAGCGACGGGGAGACAATTAGTAATTGAACTGCAGTCAGAGAGTGTGTAATTGAACTGAGTATTGTCGAGCACGTGAGACGTTCTTTGAGAATTATAGCGTTGTTATAGAGCGACTGTTGAAATTAAGTGTATCGGTAAAGTTGTATTCGGAAAGA